CCCTGTGCTCCAACCACCGGCGTCCGGTTTCTGACCATGGTACTCCTCCCCGCGACCTCTGCATACACCACCGACCACGCCCAATGCACGCAGAACACGTGATAGGTGCGTCGAAACAGGAGGCAAGTGGAATGGCAGTTTCCGCCCCGTGGTCGTGGGGCGTGGGCAATCCGCGGGACACGACCGAAGTTTTTTCACAGCATTGCGCACGACGTGCGGGAAGATCGGAAACTGACCCAAGCCCAAGATTGATGAAGAAGCAAAAAAAAGAGACCTCAAGAGGCCAGCCTCTTCAGCGCCCTCGCCTGTGCACTTATTAGGCCCTACACAGGCCCGGGGGCTTCTGTCGGTGCAACAAACCCTGGGTCTGTTGCCCATACTGTGCACAGGCACGGGAACAGGATTGAGGCACCGGCCCAACTCAAGGTGCAAGAGACCAAGAGCTTCGAAGGACCAACATGCAAACCAGGAGGACCAAAATCAGGCCAAAGAAGCAAGATGCCACCAGGTGAAAAGCCCCCCTTGCCGAGCAAGTGGGATCGGCAGGGGCGGGGCCGCTCCCGGAAGAAGATGCCCAAGACGTCCCGGCAAGGCTTGCCGGGACTCACGAGGGCAAAACCACCTCACCCAACTACTCCACCACGACCCACGTCGTTAATCAGTGCGGTGTCAAGCCGCAAAGTGACTAAGTGGCAGCCATTCGCCACATGGCAGCCTTTCTCTACAGAAGATGCCCTAGAACGACACCCGTCCTACGACGTGTCAAGCGAGCAGGTGTGAAGCTGGCAAAATAGCCCGACAAGGCTTGTCGGGCAACCAACGACGTGACGTTAAGCAGTGCATTTAATGCACCCTGTCAGCTTGCAGAGTTAGGTATGATAGCACTGTTTGTTATCTTATTAGTGCATAATGATTACTTTGCCATTGTGGTAGTCCCTTAATCTATAAAAGGAGGCCCATGGCAACCGTAGAGAGGGTTAGAAGGTTGCATAACAAACACGCCCATACGCACGTAGCCACTTTCGCCCTTCCCGGGGCAAGTATACTACGCTCCGCTACCACTCTTCCACCATCAATCCTCCAAAGCAGGAGTAGGGTTTTACGCCTCACGGCGGCCCGAACCTGGGTAAAATTGCATGTGTGATCTCTGTCGTGCTGCCCCACGCTCATCTGCTCTTTGTGCAATGCGACGTCCCCTTGCCGAACCAGCAAGGAGCCCTCTGGTCCCATAGGTGGTCGTGGTTTCCCGCGACACTAGGTGCATACATTCAATTGATTTCTAGATTTTAAATGCTCCCCTCCTGTTGCTAAGAACATATAGCCATGTAATCTTTCTTGCTATTTTTTTGGACATTTTTTTTAGCTAATTAGATGATTGTTTGCCGAGATTCACTTAATTATGGCATACAAACAATATAGCCACCGCCACATCGATGAACTCTGAAGCTGAATTGTTTTTGTTTGGTTTCACATTTCATTTGGAAGAACGAGATGTCCAGGATCAACTAACAAAAAACACAAAGAATAAGGTATGTAGTCGTTGTGATGCTTTCTTCTTTTTCTATTTACATGTATAAGCTACACTAGAATGGACCCTTTATGGCCCTCGTTGTTGTTTCGAAACAGTTGTAATCTTTGCTATAACAATTCACACTTTTCTTTGAGAAGAAGAATGTGCTCATTGATGTTGTTTAGTCTGTGCTAAATTTTATGCATGGTGTCCTAAAGGAGTAGTATACTGAACCGTAATTAGCACCACTGAATAATTCTCATGAGTACTTACCAATTAACATGTCTGTGCTACACTCATCATGCTACTTATTTATATATGTCACGATTGAACATGACTCTCTAGCCTCTATTCTTATCATACTTTCCATTTCACATTCTTAGTTGTTTACTGTTTCCAAACTTTCTGGTGAATGACAACTACTAATTATTAAGCGATACTGTATATAATGTGCTCTTTAGTATAGCGTCAGAACAACTAAATTTGTTGTCATGAACTATTTTCTTTATTATATTTGTCTACTTGCTCACTAAACAATGCATTCACGTCCAGTTTCTTTCCCAGTTTTGTCAATTTGTCGTTGATCCTTGGATTATTTTGTGCGTTGTATTGTACAAGTTTGGCAATGTCCATTTTCTGTCATTTAAGAGTTCTATTTTGCTCTGTTCCTATAGTAACCATTTGGGACTTGGATACAAAGTTTTGTCCTAGGCGGTTGAATTTATAAGGACATGATATCTTGCCATTATGCAGCCTATACCATGCTTGTGCCATGGCAGTATTAACCCCTCCATCAACTCTTTGTTGCTGAAGAAACCAGTAGTTGTATTCATTGCATGTCAGCTGGTCTACGACTTCCATAAGTTTGCATCATTTATTTTGAGTACTTTGTTGTTAGTAACTTCAACAAGACTGTAAAAATATGTTGGATCTACAGGGGGCAACGCCTGACCAGCGATACTGAGGTGTCGTTGGCCATGGGTGCAGCTGTCCACGGCTAGGGGTGGGATTGTTAGTTTGTTACAACATATGGATGATATGCACATAGAAGGTGCTCTAATAATCCCCACTATTATTTATTTGTATCATCTGCTAATGGTTTTGTATTTGAAAAAGAATATTATCCTTGTTTCTTATATACGCAGGCTGGTATAAACAAGCTATGATTGTTTGGGCTATGATTCGCAACATAGATTGGGGATTTAAAAATGTTAGACAAGAAAGTTATCGGCATGGTAGGTTCAGATTCAGTTCTATTTTTTTATTTTATTTTCTGTTACAAAATCAGTTTTTGATACTTTTCTCCCTTTTATGTCCTAAATCAGATAAGTATCTCAGTGTTTTATATGCAATGTTACACATTTGTTCGAGACAAAAAAAACATATATTGAGTTTACTTACGAACCTTTGGTTGAGATGAAAGTTTACATCTGATGTCATTCCACTAGGACTGGAAATAGTCCCAAAAAATGTTGTATTACCTCTCTCTTGGTAACTAATATTTGTATGGCGTGATTTCTGGAATTCACAGTCTAAGATCTAAATAGTCTGATTCATGTTGTCAAAATCTTATCGAGGTCTTGGCTAACTATGCAACATAATCTTGAATATGATTTGTATTGTTTGGTGTTTATATTATGTAGTGCTCAAGTCTTTCACCTGGAAATATTATTAATTGATCAAATTAATCTAAGTTTAGTTCTTGATGATTATTTTGTGGGACTAGAAAATGAAGTTTTTATGTTTGTACTTTGTAGGAATTATTATAATGGAGTATTCTTTCTTCGTATCTCTCTTGTTGGTTTGCTTGTTAGAACCACAACTGTCATTACAAAGCATCTCTATGTCTCTTTCTAACTGTTACTATTTCCATTGTCTTGGCTTGCAGGTCGCCGCTTGAGTCGGATGAGGTCATGGTTACTTTACTTGGTGAGTTACTGCCCAGGAAGAGCACAATCCACCACCGCTATATATCAGATGGTGCCATCAAGGACGTCGTCATATTGACCGCCGATGACCTACATCCTTTCGCTTTCCCTCATGTTTTGCAGAATGGAAGTGGCCTGAAAGCCACTTGAATGAAATCTTATGTCTTGCGATGTGCCAATGCCATGAACTAGATGTCTGTAGTATATTTTTTTAATTTGAAATGTTTACCTGTGATATTGAGCCCGGTACTTTAGTGCATGGATCAGCATTGCAGTTGCAATTGTTTTGATGTTATGGTGATCTTTGTTTTGTGCAGATTAAGAAGGCTTTGTACTGATTTTTTATAGGTCACATGCGACAAGTTGCCCGTCCTATGTTAATCTTCATACTTTGTACTGAATTTTTATGTGAACCAGTTATTTGTCCGGATTGTCTTATATCGTAAATCTTGATGTCTTCTGGTAAATCTTGATGCTCTTTGTCGAACCACTCATGGATTTTAATGCTTTCTATTGATCCATATCCTGCTTTGTACTTTACTCTGTATATTGGATTACATCCTTGATAAATACCAGATGCTGGATCATTGGATCACTTCTTTAGAAAGGCGCACTCTGCGCCCAAACATAAATTGGCTCCTTTTGTCTATATTGAGCACTGTGAATTGGACCATTGTTGTAATGACCAAATGTGTCATGTTTGCCTAGCTTATATATGTTGCCTTACCCTTTGGCGTTACTCCGACAAAATCCTCTGCTGAAACAAACGTCCCGAGCTTTACCAATGCCCTGTTTCTGATGTAAATCTACTGTGTTGGACTAATCCATCCTGAAAATCACTCTAATTCCCTTTTGCAACACAAAATGTTATGTTTAAGCGTTGGGAAAATGCAATGAGTAAAGCACCATGCGCCAAAAGCTTTTTACCGGATTGGATATCGCTTTTTACCAGATTGTATATCGCTGCCGGGTGCAGCAAGCCACACTTTCTATCTAGTTTAGATCACTAAAGTAGTGATCTAAACGCTCTTATATTTCTTCCTCATAAAGACTAGATAACTTATTCTTATTCGTTCCAGCCTGACCTTGCAGTATACACATTACAACAGGATCTAAAGGAGCAAGGACTACAGATCCTCCGACCTCAACCTGGGTATCAAAACTCAAATCTCGGACCAAAATCATTCACAGAAGCACTCTCATTGCAAGCTCTACAACTAACCGAAAATGAGACATAGACCAAGGAAATGCGGAGAGAAATTCCACATCAAGCGCTGTCAGTCTGCCAACACCAGCTACTATTATCCCTAACAAGGAATTTCAGTCTCTAGAAATCCTATTCCTAACTGCGAACCTCGGTGTGTGCTTGAAAGTCCTCAAGATTCTCTCCATAACGGATATCTGAAGATAAGACTACCTTGGTTGTAACCAGAAGAAAAGGGGACGACACAGTTCACTCATACTGTCGCTGCATCTCAGCTCCTGCCAAAAATGTATATCTAATAAGAAGCTAGAATAAAAGCAACCTAAACTTGATAGACCCTAAGCGAACAACTGCAACATTAATCCCAGGCACTGGGAGCTCCAGCACCACCATAGCCACCACCCCCGTAGCTGCTGCCTCCAGCATAGTCACTGGCGCCACCACCCTTGCCAAAGGAAGAAGATTCCCTACGGAAGTCACGGCCACCAAAGCGGCTCCCACCTCCGGCACCACGTCTGTTCCTTCCACCACCACCACCATAGGATGGGCGAGCTGCATAGCGAGTAAGCCATGCAGGTACCTCCTGATTAGATTCTTGCATTAGGTCAGCTAGAGACTTTGCCATCGAAGAGTTGTTGTCATTAAAGAAAGCAGTCGCAATTCCACTTTTTCCTGCCCTCCCTGTACGACCAATCCTGTGTACGTAGTCATCAATATCATTGGGGAGATCAAAGTTCACAACATGAGCAACATGAGGAATGTCGAGGCCCCGGGCCGCCACATCAGTTGCAACTAGAATTGGAGTTTGACCACTCTTGAAGGATCTCAAAGCATATTCTCTTTCCTGTAAGGATCGGTACACCAATATGTCAGAAAAAAACAGCCCTGATAAGACAAACATCTTTAGTTTCAGAAGAAAAAACGTCCAGTATTTATCCACAAGTAACAAGATTCAAGACTACAGGAATTTTCAAGCAAATCAGTAAATAAGTATCTGCTGTGTGATAGCAATAGCTGAAAGTACAAAAACTACAATAATCTGCCAAACAAACCAAACAGACAGTAAATTGGCGATATTTATTTGATGGCAGCAACTGACCGACTATTACATCATTCCAGAGAACAAACAGAAATAAATATGCTCCAAGCAAAAATGGGAGGTTCCGAAGGAAAAAATAAAGAATAAACCTGCTGGTTTCTATCACCATGAATAGAAGTCGCTGGAAATCCATTCGTACACAACCAGTTCTCCAGTGAGTCGGCACCCCTTTTGGTCTCCACAAAGACAAGTGTGAGAGCTTGCTGCAGCAAAGGACAGGAGAAAAATGAGCACTAGGATTAAAGATCTGCATTATCTACTGATCTTAAGAGAAACTAAAGAACAACAAAACATCAGGGTAAGTGATTGAATAATAAAAATAACGGACAGTCAAAATATTACCTTCCCTTGTTCTGAACTGTCTCTTTGCGCATGGAGCAGATCCATCAAGTGACTTCTTTTATCTGCCTCCTGTACAAACTCAACTCTCTGGGCAATCAACTCAGTACTTGACCCGACCCTTCCAACAGCCAGGAATATGTAGTTCTCCAGAAAGTCAGATGCCATTCTCTGTGTTCATTAAGAATAGCCTTGATGTCATTAAGAATGCAAACTAAAAACTTTTGACATAATAAAATAATTAGAAATCATCCGACATGACAAAGGTATTCACAACAAACCCAATTGAAAACTCAATAAGTCAGCACCAGGACACAACTTGCCTAGTTACATCAATGCCAGATCAGTCAGGAAAAGATATTTCAGTAAGGTGGGCAAAATGCAGTCAGGAAAAGATAATTTAACCAGAAAAAAAATAAGAACAAACTTTCCAGCCTATCATGCACATAAAACTTCTCCCATAAAAAAATATGACGCTGATATCTACCAATACTTTCACAGTTCAGCATCTTTTGAACAGACATTCCTGAAATATGTAAATATATTCATGGAGTTGGCATAACTTTCTCTTCAGAGAGCATGTGCATGTTACTAATTTCCATTCACACATACAGAAATAGAACACCCTAGTGCCGAGTGCCGTCACAGAATGAGATTTATATGATGCTAGCGATACTGCATAAAAGAATCTCCGGTGCACGTAGTAACATATAGGCATATGAGAATCATTGTTACTGTTGGACTACAAGCCGAAGATTTTCTACAATATTGGTTTTTTGATGTTCATATAGTTCACTAACAACACATGGCATGTAAATCTAACTACTTTCCCTAAGCTCATCCAGCATAGATCTAAGGTTAACACCATTCATGGAAAAGACTAGAGGGATACGCGCGCTTGCGCTGCGCCCATTTTTCCGTTGGTTCGTTTTGCTTTTTCTGTTTTGTAGTAGTTTGCTGCTCTGGTGGATTTTTTGTTTTATTTTTTGGTATGGTGTGGCAAGGCGGTTGAGCATTGTTCTGGGGCGTTCGGTGCTCTTAGGAACGGGTGTTTTTTCGAGGTCTGCAGTCAGATGACACTTTCTTGTCAAGTAGTCAGTTCGTGTTGTTGTTGCTGGATGCCTGCTCCGGTGGTTGGGTCCTCATAGTGGAGGCGCGGGGCGTGTCGATCCCATGGCTGGCGGCGACTACAGGGTAGCAGCTGGCCGCAGCACTCTGCGGCGTTGTCATCCCTCCAATCACGCCGTCCTGGTCTCGTCCTCATGGTCGAGCGTGCATCCTCGTCAGGTATGGCGTTGTCGCTGCCTGCCGTACCCATCACAGAGCACCAAGGAAATCAGGAAGATTTATCAATTGGATAACACCATCCAGTATAAGACGCAACAGCACATAAGCCGTGTAAGCACGCGACGAAGCAACAACCTGAGCAAGCAGGAAGCAAGGGGCAGCAGGACTCACGGCCAAAAGAGTGAGGAGAAGACACAGCCGTCGTGTGCACCGTCATGTAGTTCACGTCGAGGCAGATCAATAGGATGATGAGCAACTCCTTGCGAGGGCTTCGGCGCTGGCCGACCCAAGGTGACGGGACGTAGCCGACGCGGCGGCTGCAGCCTCGAGGCAAGGACGGGGCCGGCATGCTGCTGCGGCCCGAGTTCCACATCCCACATAGACACAACCTCCGCCCTCCTGCATGCGCCACCACCCCCTGTGACCGAGCACAGGTGAAGGAGATGGGAGGGGGGCGGGGACGGGATTGCGGCGGAAGGAGACGGCGGCGTGGAGCGTTGTTTGTTCAACAAAAAGAAATAACATGAACTATATATACGAATAGGAAGAGACAGTCAGATCTTTTTCCCTAAAGAGAAGATCCGCCTAACAAGAAGCATCGTGGCTAGCGTAGAAGGAACAAAAAACGAACAGATGAACAAGCAGACCAAACCCCACGAGCAGCCGCCGCCCCCCACACCTCCACCAACCCAGCAGATCAGAGAGGCCGGTGCAGAAAGGAAGACGGCAGCAACAGGACCCCAGCGACAGGAGCAGCTCACCCTCCGGAAAGAACAGCACACGCAGCAGCCAACAAGAACAGGGCCGCCCTCCACCGCGAATGGAAGAAAAGGGCAAGACACCCAGCCGCCACCGCCTATGCTATCGGGAGAGACAACGCTAGACCAGAAGGGGGAATGTATCCGGTGCACCCGCATTTGTGGTGCTACCGGTGCACCGGATGCCATAGAATATTTTTAAAAATCTGAAAAAAATTCTAGCATGTTTCATGTTAACATAATAACATCAATGTATGATGTCACAAAGTTTCATATAAAAAGTTGAAATATTTTTTGAGATACCAAAATAACAAATTTGACACCAGTGCAATAATGAGCCAAATCTAAAGCCCAAGTTATGTTATGTACTATTCAGTGTTGAATTTGTCATTTTTGTTTTTGGAGTAATGTTTCGAATTTTGACTTGAATTTTTGTGACAATCTACATTGATGTTGTGCAAGTGTGCTAAATTTTTTTCAGAATTTTTGAACATTTTAAAAGCACAATATGAGTTCGGTGCACCGGTAGCACCACAAGCTCCGGTGCACCAGATATTTTCCCGACCAGAAGGAACCAGCTACACAGGGTAAAAAGGCCTCGCACGCCCCAGTTAAAAGCCCATTTATAAACCGACCATAGGCTAAACTGGGCCCACATACCGCCTAAACCACCCCCGATCAACCAGAGGCTCCCATTTCGTGGGAGCTTAGTATCTGTACCGATGCCATACTACCTAAAGAGTAAAGCATCAGACAAATATATGATATATATCAATAGGGGGAAACATATTAACATAGCAACAATAAAATACGGAAGTATAATCAAGGGCTCAGATTTAATAGCAAGAACCAATCATTTAAATAGAGTGGAGATGCTTCTTAAAATATTTATATATCATCAATATAACTGCAGAAATGTGGAATAAAAAGCTAACCTGTATTTCTCCCGGGAATGTAGCGCTAAACAATAACGTCTGCCTGACACCTCGTGGAGGCATGTCCATTTGCTCAACAATTCTCCGAACTTGCGGCTCAAACCCCATATCCAGCATTCTATCCGCCTCATCAAGGGCAAGGTATCTAATCGACTGTAAGGATACTCTTGCCCTTTCCAGTAAATCAACCAAACGACCAGGAGTAGCCACAAGAATGTCAACACCCCTCTCAAGATCTCTCAACTGGAAAATAATGAAAATCGAGTTTATGGTACAATAGAAATTTAAGTAACTAAGATTACTGCCAAGTATACGGAAGCAAATATGCCGCCACGTTAACTAGCTATAATAACACATCAGAGGGATCATGTGTTACCAAAGGATGCCTAGCACCTCATCGCTAGTTGAAAACTCACCCAGATTGACTAGTCCAATTCTTCAACTTCTACTTTGAGTAGACTTTGTGGTGCATGAATCACAAGATCCAGGACCACTGTTATCATGAGTGATGTTTTGAATTAAACTATCAGCATCATCCTTCACATAAAGCCCATTTTCCCAACGTTGTTTCACTAGTAATGCTGAGAGAACTTTGTGGCAACAACAAAAGGTAATACAGCAGACAAGCAGCACCTGTGCCATCTAACACAAAGTCCGACAAAACTATGGGGAACAATGGGATATCGACAAAACAACCCATAATCAGGTAGGTAACAGACTTATGATCAGGATGACGAACAAAAAGAGAAATAGAAAGATAACTCAGTGCTGGCACTAATGAACATAACAGGAGGCATGTTGCTACAGAAAGAAAACAGATTTTGGACGAAGAAAGAATTGCATTTCGAAAACATACGATCAAGCACTAAACCGTCACCTTGCATAGAATAAAGGACCATGTCTTTCTAAATATACAAATGGACCTGCCAAAGGACATACTGTGTAATATGCTCAGCAACGAAGGATGCAGGCACATGTTCAGTTGTTATTTGCTAACACGAAATTGTTCGATACAGTATGAACAAATTATAAACATACCTAACAATTTTATCAGTTTATGGGAATCACCTTTGCATTGCAGCAAAATTAACTGTAACCATATGCAATGCATGCACCCAGCAATTCCACAGAGACCATTAACATCAGAAGACTTGCACAGCCTCTGTGAAGAACTGACTGCATATCCTACTATGCATATACAGATATACTACACTCATACTGAAATGAGTTCCAGGGCAGAAATTTTATAAGAAACAGACAATTTTCAGAACTTGAGCTATTAGGGCCAACGACAGACAGAACCTGACCTGCTGGGTAATAGGGGCCCCGCCATACGCAACCACTACCCTGACACCTGTCTGATATGAAAATTTTCTCGCCTCTTCATGAATCTGCAGCACAAGGCAAGCACAACGAAACAACTATCACACACATGGCGCAGGAGATTAACTGGGCGTAATATCAAACGCCAAACAAGATATATACACGACCATCACCTGCATTGACAGCTCTCTTGTGGGCGACAAGATGAGGGCAAGAGGGCAGGCGGTCCTACTCCCGCCCCGCTGTGACCGCTGCATGGGCGGGCCCCGCATGATGCCGCTGATGATGGGGAAGCAGAAGGCGGCCGTTTTCCCCGATCCAGTCTGCGCGCAAGCCATGAGATCTCGCCCAGCCAGCGAGATCGGGATGGCATGGCGCTGCACGGGCGTGGGCCGCACGTACTTGCACCGGCGAATGTTGTCGTTCAGCGCGGCGCCGAGGTCGATCTCCGCGAACGTGCCCACGGCGGGCGGAACCTCCCGGCCGCTGGTCTCGACGGGGATGTCCTCGTACGCTTCAAAGTTGATCCCCGTGTTCTGGTGCTCGTCGAAAGGCACGGGCTCCGCCGGCACCTCCTCCTCGTCCCCGAAAGGGTTGGGCTCCCGGTCCCACCTACGAGGTGGGGCCCCGCCTCCCCCGAACCTCCCACCGACGCCGCCGGTGGGGCGGCCGAGGAGGCCGGGCGCGGCGCGCGGGGGTGGAGCGGAGGACACCGGAGGCGCGTTGGAGGAGCGATTGCGGAGGTGGGGAGGGACGTAAGAGGAGCGGTCGGCACGCGCGGGGCCGTTGGATGTGGCAGGCGCCGCCGCTGGAACGGGAGCAGGAGGGGCCGGTTCAGCGTCGGCAACGTCGGCCCAGGAGGTGCGGGAGGGGGCCGCCATGGTTAGATGGGATCTGCGCGGAGGTGGAGGTGGGAGGAGGCGAGGTGGGCACTGTTTTTTTTTCAGGGAACGGCTTTCTGCGGTATTTCGATCGGTGGTGGTTGGGTGGAGTTTGCGGCTAAAACGAAGTGTGCGAGACGGAAAACCTAAAGAGCATGTCCATTCCATAGACGCTTGTATAGGCGCTTAAGGATTATTAAAAATTAAAAAACACTGTCTAGTGCGTGCACAAGTGCCTCACCTTCCAACGCTGAGATGTTGCGGGATGCAGTTCTCTCACGTAAAATCAATACCATATCAACTGGAGCGCCCGCTGTCAGATTTGGGCAGCGCTGCCGAGCAGGCGCCAGGAAAATTCTCCTGACGAGTGAAAAGGCTGGGATTATGATCCCTAGCGCTTATCCTTAGCACCGCATTGTATATGCCCTAAGGCACGTCCGGTGCACATATCAGACACACAAAACTAAACCGTCTGTGAACACAAATAACAGAGCCGACTATTTTACCGCATGCATCAAAGGTATCACTACAAAACAGTAAAATCTATTTGGTAGTCTCCGTTCCACGGTTTATTTTCGTCCCACCTTTATCTGGTTTATTTTCGTCCCTCCCACCTCCTAGGTAGTCCCCTTCACGTCAAAAATATCGAACCAACCCATGTTACGAGAGAGCGATACTCCCCTCCATGCCAAAAAAATCAAACGAAAATAAATGGACGAAAGAAAACCAGCGAAAAAAATTGGACGAACCAGGCTCCTTCGCAGGGAAAAAAACCAAACGAGGCCGCCAATCCCCGGCCTACCTCTCCCAACTCCCTAGCACTCCCGGATCTCAAAATAAACTCCCTAGCACTCCCTCCCTGCGCCGCCGCCCATCGATCTACCACCTACTACGGATCAGTCGGCCACCACAACCTCCCTTCCCAGTCGGCCGCCACAGCGCCACCACCCCCTCCCCCGGCAGCCATGCACATCGGGAGGCGACCACACGCTTGGTGGGTCTCGGCCTCCCTCCTCTCATCGTCCAAGGCCAGGAGCTCCCTTCCCTGACCGATCTGACGGAGAGAGGGCTAGGCCTTGCCACTCAGATGGTTGATGTGGCCAGATCCGACCGGGGGAGCCGCCATAGAGCCGACACCTCGGCGGCACAGCATCAACCCGACAGAAGGTGGGTGCTCGAGCTCATCCAGCAGCTCGTCAACGACCAGGAGGCCTCTACCTCAACTGCAACCGTCCGTGGATCTCTATTGCAAGCACCTTGTATCTATTGATGTTCTTCCGCCCATCTAAAATCCACATGTTTTTTACGGGACCTAAATTCCACATGTTATATGAGTGGTACAGCTGCATGGATTGGCGATATTATTTTGGCTTGGATTCAAAGTGGCAATCTGGCGATATGAGTATTTGTACAAACCGCCGAGGACCTCAAATTCACATGGTTCGTGCTTCTTTACTTACAAACTCTACATATGACAACCAGCAGATCAATTGGTACCATCTCTGATTTCTATCATCATGTTGCTTCATTTATCTGCATATAAGTTTCACTGGATACATGGATTTAACATACTACTTTTTTTAGTCGGCATCAAACTTGGTTCAGGTGGCTTTTTATTAAAGAAAGTTATGTTTCTAATATGTACTCTGATCCTAGATCTCATACTTGCTTTTTTGGCATAATAGTTTCAGGCCTGATGAGTATCAAATGTCATGAGAAATTCAAGAATTGCATGGGAAGGGTAAAGGCGACTAGCAGATTGGGTTCTCCAAGGAACGCCAATACGAACTCACTTTTTGCAACACACATGCTCAGCCAATTGGGCAGCCAGCTGGGAGGTAGACAATACATTTTTCCTCTTTCACAAATAAAATATTTTGATGCTCAAGATTGGATATTAAGGCATTATTTTAAATCAATTTATTGATCCAAGGTCATGGAAAGAACTATTTTTTTCTCTTGTTGCAATACACAGGCTCAAAGGTACAGGTGCGCGAACCCCTACTTATATATAGGCATTTTCACGTGTGTGTTGGAGCTTTGTCTGATCGTATATGCTGATTAGTGCATGGGTCCTTGATTGAGAATGCTTCGATGGATAGGGGATTCCATGAAAGAGTTGGTGTGGATTAATATCCTTCGGGTTTTTGCGTGGCGTGGCCCTGACATTTATCAGGGACTAGAATATATCTGAATTGTGTGTAGCGATTGTCCATCTACTTAGTTATTGTAGGCATTCTGTTTCACATAAATATAGATATATTTGAATCATGAGTAACTACATGTCCACTCTTCGTCCAAAGTTTTTGCTTATGCAATATGATTGGACTATTTAGTTCGCATCCTTCTCCCTTTGCAGATTATAATGCATTTTGAAATTGTTCATGTGCTTCATTTTTGCACTCTTGCTACTCTCTGGAGAAATTATTTGCTCTACCTAAAGCATGGCTCCTATGTTGGTATTCATGGCCAATCTAGCTATTTTATGTTTAGTAAATTGTTTGCACTAATGTACAGAGCCTTCTAATTTTTTTGATCCGTCCCAGTATCCTGACCCATTGTTTGCATTTTACTTACACATGCTCTAGAAATTACACAGTATGTAGCACAAGATTATACTGCTGAATTGTTGATGATATTAGTGGGCTCAATCTTGTGGTGTCCTTACTCTGAAAACAACATCCGACATCGATGATTATTGTTACCCCTACAGATGGTTAGATTTTGAAGGCTCTGTACTCGAAATCATATGGGAATTTCATGTTGTTGCATCCAGGTGCTGGAATTCCTCACATTGGAGTGAAAACAATTATGTCTATGCATGTAGCAGCAAGGTGAGCGCTTGTAATTATTGCAAGACTTATTTTCTAGCAAGTTAATCATGGCCCTACTAACATGCTCGGTGATTTGGACAATATTGTTTTTTTGGGGAGGTTGGTACAATATCACACTCACCCTAATTGGAATGATTAAATATTCATGATCCTTTAAAGTTTCCAGGATACTTCAATCCTTATTTTTTACTGAACACTTTAATTCAGTCACAAAATTACACACTAAATTGTGAGGGTTTCAGAAATTTGTAGCACTTATCACCTTTTGGAAAACTGGAAGTGGGTCATCAGTAGGGATTTTGTTGAGGTACTATCATGAATTAACAGATGATATATTTTTTCTATTGATTTTTTTGTGTAAGAAATTCTGGACCTTATATATTATGGATACATAGAGTTTTGCGGGTAACCTGAATTACTATTTTTGTCCTTTCCGAGCTCTTTGTTAGGACTTAATATTGGGTACATCCGTCGTTGAAGTATAAAGCAAAGAAGCACACAACAACTTCTGAAGCCTTCTTATATTTTCGGATCCTTGTCGAGTCTGTTCAGTCATATAATGATACACCACTGACAGGGGATGAGGCAGGGGAGGGGTGCCGTTATTGCATACAAGACATGACTTCCACTACAAGAAACACTTAAGAAGAATGAGTGCCTTTTAGGCCCAGGTCATATTCAAACAACAATTTGCTATCATGCTCTCGCCATTGCATTCAGCTGTATGAGTGCATACAAGCTTTCAATTCAGGTTAGCTCTAACAAAAAATTGGCAGAATAACATTTTGACACATTTAACTGACTTCTTGATTTTGGTGGCAGCATGAAACACAGACACATGATATACTGGTAAAATAGTTAGGGTCTGATGATTCATGAACAAAAGATTCATAAAATTGGTTGAATCATTTAAGGAGCGAGAACAGCAAGTATGTGATGAAAAATTATTTCCCATGGTTGTTTCACTCTTGGTTCAGGGATTCTTGCACATTATCAAAGTAGCAACTTGTCAAGGTGATGTTCCTATCTTGTTTATGCTAGACGTAGTTGTTTATTTGTGACATCAAACAGTTTACAACATTAGAGATTTTTACAAAATGTGGTAATTGTTCTTTCACAAATTTCTCAAGAACAATAATAATTGGTTGCCATTTTTAATCCTTTGTAATTTGTAGTTTATTTGAATATTACAGAAACGGTTGACATCTAATTTGCCATCATGTTGTTTTACACATAATTTATTTATCTCCTTTCTAATGTGTAAATGGTTAATACTGAAGACTCATTTTGTGAATTAAGGATCATTTAGAGAATTTAATGACTATAGTTTTCATGTATGGTGTGCCTCCCTTGAGTTGGAGAATATTTACAATTTCATCAACATGCAGCTATAGTGTTTGACCAACACAGTTTTGCCCGCAAAACTTTTATTCTTTCCTTGTTCTGGTTAGTACCGGTGTAGATTTTCTTCTTATAAAAAATAATAAAATATAAATATATTTTCATTGTTACGAGAAAATTAGATTGGTCACAAAAACATGTTACTTCAGCAACAGTTATTTTTCAACTGAAATCAACTTTGCTTACCAGGCGCTAGCTATCCCCGACAACATATTTGCACTCTGATTATACTTGAGCAGTAATATCACGCAATGGTTCTGTTCCCTCCTTGCATTTACCTCTCCTTTCTTGATTTTGTCCTTAAATGATGACTAGATATGTCCATGGATAAAGTGATCTGATGTACATGAGGATCGTAAAGTTATATGTTCCACATGATTGGTGTTTAATCACCAAAATGTGTATACCCTTGTTTTCCTGACATGGATGAACCTGATATGGGTGTGTTGTCTGTTGCAGGTCATTGCCAAATGCCAACCAATGTGCCAGCATGGGACCGGGGAAAGGGAAAGACCATGGAGGTGCAAGTCTGAGATGAAGAGATGGCGACACATAATTGAGCTAGAGGCAACAACACTCAGGCCAACAGAGGAAGGAGATGGAAGGAGGAAGAAAAAGTCATGGCCGTGGGGATAAGAATGAGTGGCTCACACCATTAGTACTAGGGATAAGGTTGGTAAAAAAGAAAGGAAACATCGGCATTGTGTGAGCCAACATGAAACGAGCGCGGTGTGATTGGGGTTGGCCGTTTTGAATCGTTTTCCATTCAACTACTGGTTGCTCGGTTTCAGCAAAAAAAAATTGAGTTGCCAATAACATATTTTTGTATTTGATAGTATGATGTGTGTTAGTTGATTGTCAAAAAATATGCATTATTTAAGATGTGCATTGTTCTCAGTTTTTTTAGCTCCTGTCATTTTACCTTTTAAAAAG